CTTTCAACATGATATCTTGAAGAAGAAAAATTTTCTGGTGAACACCTCGCAGGGTAGAATGGAAATTGGTTGGCTTAAGTGGTTGGTGATAGGACGCGAATGAAACAGTATTTCGAAAACAAGATAGAAGAATCATATCAATTACTAATACTCATTTGATTGCAATGATATTAAATATGCACGCTACAATTGTGCTAGTGGTGGTGTTGTTGCCGGCCTGTAAGGTCAGCCGAGGTCAGGAAACTCGATTGAATGCATTTGGTTGCATGGACCAATAGGAGATATTTGAAACCGTTAACCTACAATTAAGTTGAAACAAATAACTCACATTATTATTCTTGTTCATAATTTCGTTTTATAGCTCTCGGTTCAGACGTGCACTTCAACTGCTCTAATTACCACTTTACTACTTCTTTCTTCAAGTCAAGTCAACTTGTTTTCTCTCGATTGTTTTAAGGCCGTTTGGTTCAACTCAATCTTTGAGTGTCCATCGAATTGTAAGTATTTAATTTACTCAAGCATTAAAAACGTGTAATGAATCATTGTTAATTCATTGAATCCAGTTGATGTGAAATTATGTTCAAAATTTGTCCCGTTTCGATTTTCTTTGCTTCTAAAACTTAATTTTAGTAATCTCATTGACGAAGAAGGGAGAATGAACTTATATGTCATGAGTCTCTTCGCCTTTTTGAGCCTTTCAATAATATTGATGACAGCTGCGTGCTTGAAATTGCTCAAGACCTTGCGAAAGACAGGGAAAGATATCCAAACGGAGCGATCAATTACCGTAAGAGGAATTGAGAAAAGAGAAGTCTTGCCCGACTCTATGGGAAATGTGCCCTCATATGACGGGTTAAATTGGTTCAACCGCATAGGTGAAATGCCTCGACGAGAAATTATCAAATATCTCGACCTACCAAGTCTCGTGGCATNCGATCAATTACCGTAAGAGGAATTGAGAAAAGAGAAGTCTCGCCCGACTCTATTGGAAATGTACCCTCATATGACGGGATAAATTGGTTCCATCGCATAGGTGAAATGCCTCGACGAGAAATTATCAAATATCTCGACCTACCAAGTCTCGTGGCATTTTCGCAGGTGGGTATGAGTTGTGAGTGGTTCAGTTCCACCTCCTCTCCAATTCTGCTGTTCTCATTCCGCTTTTGCTTTATTTTTCATTTTTGTCGCCTCAGGTATGCACGGAGTGGAAAGATTTGGCAGAAAGGTGCAACCGTTGGGAAGAAGCCAGTCGATCCTCCAACATACCCAAATGTTGGTATTTTGAGCACGATAATTTGGACCAATCTACTCAATGGACTGCCCTCTGTGCTGATCCTACTCACACGTGGGAGAGAGCAATACGTCGTGAGAAGGCTGTTGAATACAAATGGCTCTCACGTGACCTTGAAGTCGTTGAAATCGATTGTGTAAGTAGTACTTTCTGACTTGCCATATTGGGGTGCTTATTATCTACGCATGTACCATTATCAGTACTCTTAGCCATGTTACATGCAAATCGTTTCCAATTAGAGTGTATGGAAGAGAATTGTGATATTGAAACAAAGCAATATGTATGAGAAGTGAATGTGTTACTATGGAAGTGAGTGAATTAAATTACTAGTGCATCGGAAGCTGTAGTCGCAGTTTCACTATGTAAATATGTCTTCATAATTATCACATTTAAGTAAGAAATTTATAATTGCAGTGCATGAGAATATGAGGTCATGAGTCAAAACACTAATGTCACACTTAAGGTACTGGAAGTACTGGTAATTCATAATTACTGAGAAGGGATGGAAGTCTTAATGGATCTCAAGGTCGATAGCCCAATCTTCCGAAGAGAACTCATAAGGAGGACATTTTATTAGTCAAATTGTGCATTTGGATCAGGGTGGTGGCTAATTGGGAAGAGATTCACTAAATC